TTATTCATGAGAGACACAGACTGATAGAGAGGGGTAGAGACATATGCAGAGGGAGAAGCAGGCTCCATGCAGGGAGCCTGATGTAGGACCCAATCCCGGGTCTCCAAGGACCATGCCCTGGGCGGAAGGTGTCGCTAAACTGCTGAGCCACCCAGGCTGCCTGAAAACATCTTTTTAATCTGTCATCTAACTAGCCATGAAACACAAAGAAGAATTTCAATAAATATATAATAAGTTAATTTACCTCACATCCCATCAATAAAACATACCACAGAGCACATCTAATTTAGCCATTTAAAATGTCTTCTTTGGTTTCATAAAAGCTGTAGATAACCCCAAATTCAGAGAAGTATTTTATTTCTAGGTAACACAGGTAAAGAGCAACTGTAGAAGTTAAATAAGCTTAATCTAATTGACCTATCTCTATTAGAGGTTAGAATTAATTCTAACAAATAGTTTCATGTATAGCACAAGAAAAATAAATCACACAAAAAATGAGAATTTAAGGCTTAAAGATTGGCATTTCTAGTTGTATGTCACGTTTAAATAAGACAGTAGATCTAAAGAGCTAAAATTCTCTCTGAAAACAAAATAAAACATTATATTTATCCAAACATTTATCCCCTCAGTTCTTTATATGCTTCAAGACTTAGAAATTTGTTCAGGTTACGAGGACCACAAATAGGATGGTCTCTTCCACAGATGGTGCTGGGAAAACTAAATGTTCATGTGGAAAAGAATGAAGTTGGACCCTTACTTCACACCATATGCAAAATTAACTCAAAATGGAGTATACATAAGAGCTAGAATTACTAAACTGCTAGAGGAAAATATAAAGAAAAAGCTTAATAACATTGAATTTGGTCATGATTTCTTGGATATGTCACCATAACCACAGACAAAAAAAAAAAAGCAATGAGTGGGAAAATGGGACTATATCAAACTCAAACTCTTCTGGAATCAAATCAATACAGTGAAAAGGCAACCCACAGAATGGGAGAAGATATTTTCTAATCATATATATGGTAGGGGATCAATATCCAGAACATAAAGAGCTCCTAAAACTCAACAATAACAACAAAACAATTTAAAAATGGGCAAAAGAGTTGAACAGACTTTTTTTTTCAAGGAAAGTATATAGTCAGCAAGCATATGAAAAGGTGCTCAAAGTCACTAATCACTAGATAAATACAAATCAAAACTACAATAAAATAGCACCTCCTAACCATCGAGATGACTACAATCAAAAGCAAATAAATAAAATTCAGAAAATAAGTTTTGGGAATGGCTTGGTGAAATCAGAATCCTTGTGAATTCCTAATGGGAATGTAAAATGGCACAGTCACAATGGAATATAGTATTGAAAGTTTCTCAAAAAAATAATGATAGAATTGCTATATGATCCAGCAATCATATTTTTGGGTCTATATTCAAGCAAATTCAAAGCAGAATCTCCAAGAGATATCTGTACACCCTATTCATTTTAGCATTTTTCACAACACCCACCAAGAGGGGGAAGCACCCCAAATGTCCATGGATGTATGTATGAATAAACAAAATGTGATATATACACAAAATGGTATATTATTCAGTCTTAAAAAAGAAGGAAATTCTGTCTCCTTCTACAATATGGTTGTGTACATTGAGGACATTATACTATGTGAAATAAGCCAGTCACAAAATGACAAATACTAGAAGCGTCTACTCATATGAAGTATCCGAAGTAGTCAAATGCATAAAAGCACAAGATAGAATGGTGATTGTCAGGGACAGGGGAGCCCAAAACAGGGAGACGTTCAATAGAGAAAGAGTTTCAGCTTCACAAGATAAAAATTTTAGAGATTTAGGGGATCCCTGAGTGGCTCAGTGGTTTAGTGCCTGCCTTCGGCCCAGGGCATGAACCTGGAGTCCTGGGATCGAGTCCCATGTTGGGCTCCCTGCATGGAGCCTGCTTCTCCCTCTGCTTCTCTCTCTCTCTCTGCCTCTCATGAATAAATAAATAAAATTTTTTAAAGAATTAGAGATTTTTTATACAACAATGTAAATACACTTAAGATCACTAAACTAGCACTTAAAAATGGTTAATGTGGTAAATTTCATGTAATTTTTTTACTTTATTAAAATTAAAAAATATCAGTGTACACAAAAATTATTCACCATATTAGAATGTTAATTTGAAAAGAATTGCATGGAATATATTCTGTATTTGAATCAAAGTTATGTTCCTTATTCATTAACTCAAAACCTCAGAACTCTTGGAGGCTTCTGGGTGGCACAGTCAGTTCAGGTTTTTTAGCTCAGGTCATAATTTCAGAGTATTGAGATCAAGTCTGATATAGGGCTCCATGCTCAGCAGGGAGTCTGCTTGAGATTCTCTCTCTCTCTCTTTCTCTCTATGTCTCTTTCTCTTCCCCCCACCTTCTCATCCCCTCCAACACACACACACCTTCTCTCTCTCTCTCAAAAACAAAAAACAAAAAAACCTCAGAACTCTAAGTGTAAGTCACTGACACTTCTCTGGGGACCAGACCTTCCACTAATTCAAAGCAAAATCTAGAATACTCTTTTCATGAAATAAAGGAAATTGACTCATACTTTTTTATTCTCTCCCAGATTTTCCTTTCTCCTCCTCTGGTCCTCCTCTCCCCATATCTCCTGGATACACATTGCCCAGATTAACTGATCAGTTAATCAACTTGTATGTTGAGGATGTGCCTACCATGTACCTGGCATTGTTAAAATAAGAAATAGAGTAACCTGCTAGGTCGTACCTTATCAGGCTGGCAGGCCAGTTTCCAAGAGTTTCTGGAGACTGAAAACTCCTTATGGATAAAAGCTATGAGTTTCTCTTGCTGCAAAGGCATCAAAAGAGGCCACTGTACTATGTGCAAGCTTTGCATACATGCAATGCTTGACCAAAGGACAACATTCTCCACCAGCTTAGAACAGACAAAAATCACATATTCCAGACAAAGTCTTCCTCCATAAGTGAATTGACCACTTGAGAAAAGCCCTGACACTGTGGGCACACATGAGGATGTTTTTTAATGTAAGGGACAGAAACACTATAATTGACTTAAATGATGAACATATTTATTGTCTTGAATAATAAGAAGAGATGCAGAGGCAGGCAGTTTCTGGGTCATTAAATACATACCTTAATGACAGCACCATGGCCCAGGTTCCTCCTAACTTTTGGCTTTGCCAACCTCAATGTGTTGGCCCCTTCTATGGCCATAAAATGTAAGCTGCAATTTCAGCTGGCATTTGTGGATAAGCAATGTTGTTCCAAAAAATGAAGGTGTCTCCTTTTTGTTGTTGTTAAGATATTTATTTATTTATTTATTTATTTATTTATTTATTTATTTATTTATTTATTTATTTCAAGAGCGTGGGTGAGGGGAGGGGCAGAGGGCAAACTACCCACTGAGTGCAGAGCCTGCAGAGCTCTATCCCATGACCCATGAAATCATTACCTGAGCTGAAACCAAGAGTTAGACATTCAACTCATTGTGTCACCCAGGTGCCCCTGGAAGTGTGTCTTTTCATGGGTCTTTGTAAAAGATAAAAAGAAAAAAAAAAATAAGCAGAAAAATCTCTTTCTCCTGAACACACCTTTAGCATATCTCTCCTCATATGGCAATCACATCTCAACACACTCATTGATAATAGAAATTGGATGACCCTTATCTTGGCAGTAAACAATAATGTTTCCTGGGCTCTACCAATAAACCAGTTCTACAGTTTAAGATATATACAATTTTTTTTCCTCTGGGACTCAACTTTCTTGTTTTCCCTATTGGGCTGTAGTACCTATTTTTAACCACACCTTTACTTGAAAAGCCTAATTCTATGTATTTGCTGACTGTAGGATTCTGGGTTAAATTTCAAAGGTTCAAAGGTGTTCAAAGGTGACTAAGTGACAGTTGTTACCTCTGAAGATCTTAAGTGACTAGGGAAAAAAAACAACAACAAAACATGCCATTGGATTAATGCTACTGATGCACAACTGAGTACCTAGTGGATCTTGAGACTAAAACTTAGATGAGATTAGAGACAGGAGGCATATAGAGAGAAAATAGTTTCTGAGTGTCTACTCTGAGCATTAGATCACTGCCCTCCTGCTCCAAAAGCTAACAAGTTTTAGAATTTTCCATAATTTGGAACAATAAAATTTCATTGAAAAAAATGTATGAACTGGAGAAGTCTTGAGTGTTTCAAAAATAGCCAGGGAAGATAAACTGATATTCTTTTGGAAGGGAAAAATATTCTTCATTGTAAAGTATTATTTTCTATCAACAACCAGCACATTCAGGGGTTGGCATTTTCCTCCAATGTCAGCCCACATCATCTAGTTCCATAAAAATCTAAGTGAGAATAGAAAGTGAGGATAAGTTAAGGAAATGTCACTTTCCTTGGACCCCCTGCAAGATGACTCCCCTACCATGTCACATGTGAGTTAATTGGCACAGATGGTTTTCATTAAATGTGTCATTTTCTGCACATCAGCTTAGGTTGTTTCATACAGGTGACTATAAACTAGGCTGAGATGAGATGTGATGATGATAATGATGTTAAGAATGTCAACAATAGCAACATCTATAATTTATTGTTTCCTATATCACAAAAACAGTGTGCTAAGAATGTTACATACATGAATTCCTTACAGTGTCACATGCACCCTGTTGAGGCTTGCTGAAGCTCTAAAGAATTAAATTCCTTGCTAATGGAACTACAGCTTGTAAGTGGTGGGTCCAAACCCAAAGTCTATCAAACTATAGGCTGTGTCCTTTATTTTAATATGATGTCATTACTCTACATCTTGTCTTGGAGTAACCCATGCATTTATAGTGTGCTGAACCCATGGCATATACCTAATAAGTATGAAGATTGGGGCAATGGAAAGTTGCCCACCCTTCTCTTACTGGCAGGGAGATTAGCACTTGTTTACTTGGAGAGTCTAAGGGGATTAGCTGGATGTTTAGCTCAGTTTAGATTAGGGCTTCTTAACCTCAGCATTATTGACATTTAAAGCCAGATTATTTGTTGTAAGGAACTGTCCAATGCATTGTAAAATGTTTTCAATTAGCAATAATCGTGCCTCGGATAAACCTCATTGGCTACGATACTGCCACTGTGCAAAGCTGTAAAATGTTTAGCAGTATTCCTGGCCTCTCTTACACTCTAGATGCCAGTAGCATCCCCTTCAGGTGTAACAACCAAAAACATCTCCAGACATTTCCAAGTGTTCCCTGTGAGGCAAAATCACATTCGGTTAAGAGACACTGGTATAGATCCTTGCAAAATAAGGTATTGATAAGGCAGAGGGACCAAACTGCTGTCTATGATTAGAACTATCAAATAATGCATTATTCTGAAATATGTCCTGTTCTTATGGATTAAATACATAATTCTGATTGATTAAAGAAAAAGACAAAGGCCAGACAAGATAAACCTTTCTAAGAATTGGATTAACTGAAGTTAAAGACCTAGCCATCTAGATTGGACATTGAATCAATGCCTGCTTCTTTAAAGAAGTTTAGTTCTGGGCCATGCTTAGGAACAAGCTGGTACAGTTGGCAAAAGGGGCTTGGCAGACCACTGGGCTGGCCACCAGCTCTCTTCATCACATTCCCCTTGGCAACTATATGCTAGAGAGCAAGTCTTTAGGAAAGGACGTGAACAGGCATGCTTTTACTCTGTCTCATTTGGCATAATATACTGGTAAAGTAAAGAGTATACAATAGGTCTTTGAGGTAGTCATTATTACTCCCATTTTAGCCAATATAAACTTGATATATAGAAAAGTTAATAGCTTCCCTCAAATTGCCAAACTAGCACATGGAGGAATAGAAATGAGAACACTCCAGTGCTTCAATTCAGGCTGCTTCAATTCAGTGCTATTCATAGTACTCAATAACCAGCAACTGAATTCTTTCCATCAACAGGGAAGAAAATTAGGGAGTTATTAATCTTTTAAAAGTACATATAAGAACATTACATATTTCCTTAAGGAACATGAATAAATCTGGAATGAGCAGAAATAGCCTACTCTCCAAAGGAAACAGGAAAACCACTTTACATCAGTCTTAACCTCCAGCTCTTGGTTTTCATGACTATCTTAAATATGTTAGTAAATGTAAATTTGCATATATGTTTTCAAAACAATTATCAGCCCTTCTATCAGTCTTCTCAGGCCACCACTCTGCCTGGGTAGCTTTAACAATAGAAATTTGTTTTTTCAGGGTTCTAGATACCAAAATTCCAAGATTAAAGTGGCAGCATGGTCTAATTCTAGTCAAGACTCTTTCTGCCTTGCAGATAGTTGCCTTATGGCTATATCCTCACATGGCCTTTCTTTGTGTGTGGGCTCAATAGAGAGAGAACTCTTTGGTGTTTTTTCTGATAACACTAATCTTCTTGGATCAGGGTTCCACATTTATGTCTTCATTTAACCTTTATTTCATTAAAGGCTCCATCCATCTCCAGATACACCCATACTTTGGATTAGAACATCCAACATAGGAACTTTAGAGGGACATAAATGTAACAGTTCATAATTGTCATAGCCTTCCATCAAGTTACATTGATAAGAAGGCATAGAATTCAAAGCCAGAGCAGTTATCCTGACTGTCCCTTGGAAACATCACTATATTATTTGCTCTTTGCAGCTTTTGTTTCTTTTTCCCACCTTTTATTTAAAAAAAAAATGAAAGGAAAGATCTCCCCTAACCTGAAGAAAATATCTTCTTTCAAATAAACTTGAAGGACAAAGCCATCTAGACTTTTCCCTTTGTTCCCTTGCGATGGGTGGGACTGAACTGAAACCATGACATCTTTTGCAGAAAGCTGCAGAGATTCTACAGTAGGTGGCACAATCATTGCTTCCTAGGATGAGGCAGGTGGTATATATTATAGAGAGGGCTGCCGTACCATCATAGACAGTGGTGAGGTCTCAGACAAAGTGAAAAGTACATCATGTCTAGAGAATACCTGAGAGGCAGTTCTGCTAACTCGGTCTGCAGTCAAACAAACTATTTTTGAATCTGGCTCTATTTACTATGTAGTTTGGGGTAGTTCTTTAATCACTTTGTGCCATAGTCAGTAAAGTATGAGCAAAAAGTCAATTAATACATATTTTGTACTGTTATATGTATTATATACTGTATTCTTACAATAAAGTAAGCTGGAGAAAAGAAAGTATTATTAAGAAAACAAAAGGATGAGAAAACACATTTATAGCACTATACTGTAAAGACTATACATAGGCAAAACACCCAGTGGTCTGGTGTATCTGTCTCTTGCTTCAAAAGTGTTTGGAGGGAACAGACCCAGGGATGTCCCTTCTTCCATCTTCCAACCTCCCTATATACAACCTCTTTTCCCGTCATAACCTTTGGAACCATCTTCTCAGCCAGAGAACACTATTATTTGAGCTTATTGTTGATCAACCATGAGCTCCCAGATTCCTGAGAATTATTCCACTGCAGTAGAGTTGCTGTCAAGCCACTGGTCAACATGCATCTGCATACCTCCCACACCCACCTTTCTCTGGGCTTCTATTTTGACTGCAGCAATGTGGCTCCAGATAGCTGGGCCACATCTTTCTGGAGTTGGGAAGACAGGTGCAAGGGTGCCAGAGTCCCTTAAAGATGCAAAAACAGCCTGGTGGCAATGCCCTCCTCCAGGATGTACAGAAGCTGTCCCAAGATGAGTAGGGTAAAGCCATGGACTCCATGAAGGCTGCCATAGTTCTGAGAAAGAACCTAAACCAAGCCCTTTTGGATCTGCATGCTCTGGGTTCCGCCAGCACAGACGCCCATTCCTGTCACTTCCTAAAGAACCACTTCCTAGATGAGGAATATTAATTGAGAAGATTAGGACCACCTGACATGTCACTGGCAGGCAGGCCCCCAAACTAGGCTAGGTGACTATCTTTTTGAAAGACCCACTGTCAAGTTTGACCAGGAGTCCTCAGAGCCCAGCAACACTTTCGAGGTCCCTCTGGCATTCCCCTCAGTGTCAGAGCTTCTGTCTAAACCTGTACCTATAGCCACTAGGCAGCTCTTTTTAATAATAAATTTATTTTTTATTGGTGTTCAATTTACCAACATACAGAATAACACCCAGTGCTCATTCCCGTCAAGTGCCCCCCTCAGTGCCCATCACCCATTCACCCCTACCCCCCGCCCTCCTCCCCTTCCACCACCCCTAGTTCATTTCCCAGAGTTAGGAGTCTTCCATGTTCTGTCTCCCTTTCTGATATTTCCCACATATTTCTTCTCCCTTCCCTAATATTCCCTTTCACTATTATTTATATTCCCCAAATGAATGAGAACATATAAAGTTTGTCCTTCACCGATTGACTTACTTCACTCAGCATAATACCCTCCAGTTCCATCCACGTTGAAGCAAATGGTGGGTATTTGTCGTTTCTAATGGCTGAGTAATATTCCATTATGTACATAGACCACAGCTTCTTTATCCATTCATCTTTTGATGGATACTGAAGGTTCCTTCCACAGTTTGGCTATTGTGGCCATTGCTGCTATAAACATCGGGGTGCAGGTGTCCCGGCGTTTCATTGCATCTGTATCTTTGGAGTAAAACCCCAACAGTGCAATTGCTGGGTCGTAGGGCAGGTCTATTTTGAACTGTTTGAGGAACCTCCACACAGTTTTCCAGAGTGGCTGCACCAGTTCACATTCCCACCAACAGTGTAAGAGGGTTCCCTTTACTCCGCATCCTCTCCAACATTTGTGGTTTCCTGCCTTGTTAATTTTCCCCATTCTCACTGGTGTGAGATGGTATCTCGTTGTGGTTTTGATTTGTATTTCCCTGATGGCAAGTGATGCAGAGCATTTTCTCATGTGCATGTTGGCCATGTCTATGTCTTCCTCTGTGAGATTTCTCTTCATGTCTTTTGCCCATTTTAAGATTGAATTGTTTGTTTCTTTGCTGTTGAGTTGAATAAGTTCTTTATAGATCTTGGAAACTAGCCCTTTATCTGATACGTCATTTGCAAATATCTTCTCCCAATCTGTAGGTTGTCTTTTAGTTTTGTTGACTCTATCTTTTGCGGTGCAAAAGCTTCTTGTCTTGATGAAGTCCCAATAGTTCATTTTTGTTTTTGTTTCTTTTGCCTTTGTGGATGTATCTTGCAAGAAGTTACTGTGGCCGAGTTCAAAAAGGGTGTTGCCTGTGTTCTCCTCTAGGATTTTGATGGAATCTTCTCTCACATTTAGATCTTTCATCCATTTTGAGTTTATCTTTGTGTATGGTGTAAGAGAGTGGTCTAGTTTCATTCTTCTGCATGTGGATGTCCAATTTTCCCAGCACCATTTATTGAAGAGACTGTCTTTCTTCCAGTGGATCGTCTTTCCTCCTTTATCGAATATTGGTTGACCATAAAATTCAGGGTCCACTTCTGGGTTCTCCATTCTGTTCCATTGATCTATGTGTCTGTTTTTGTGCCAGTACCTCACTGCCTTGATGACCACAGCTTTGTAGTACAACCTAAAATCTGGCATTGTGATGCCCCCAGATATGGTTTTCTTTTTTAAAATTCCCATGGCTATTCAGGGTCTTTTCTGATTCCACACAAATCTTAAAATAATTTGTTCCAACTCTCTGAAGAAAGTCCATGGTATTTTGATAGGGATTGCATTAAATGTGTAAATTGCCCTGGGTAACATTGACATTTTCACAATTTTAATTCTGCCAATCCATGAGCATGGAATATTTTTCCATCTCTTTGGGTCTTCCTCAATTTCTTTCAGAAGTGTTCTATAGTTTTTAGGGTATGGATCCTTTACCTCTTTGGTTAGGTTTATTCCTAAGTATTTTATGCTTTTGGGTGTAATTGTAAATGGGATTGACTCCTTAATTTCCCTTTCTTCAGTCTCATTGTTAGTGTATAGAAATGCCATTGATTTCTGGGCATTGATTTTGTATCCTGCCACACTGCCGAATTGCTGTATGAGTTCTAGCCATCTTGGGGTGGAATCTTTTGGGTTTTCTATGTAGAGTATCATGTCATTGGCGAAGAGGGAGAGTTTGACTTCTTCTTTGCCAATTTGAATGCCTTTAATGTCTTTTTGTTGTCTGATTGCTGAGGCTAGGACTTCTAGTACTATGTTGAATAGC